TCGATTTGATTCTTTTGTAAACTTTTTTTTTTCTAAAAAAAATTCCAAAAGCGGTTTGGAAAGAAAATTTTTTTTTTTTTCAATGAGTAGTAGTAAGTAGTACTTAGTAACTTTTTTCAATAAGAATTTTCCCCATTATTTGAAAAGTTTCAATATTCAAAGGGGGGGAGGGAGGGAAAACAACCTACTCTTCAATATTTAATCAACAGAATTAATTGTCAAATAACATTTTATATTTTATTTTATACTTTAATAAAACTTTTTATTTATTTATTTATTTATCATCATCATCATTTCAATCATATTTAAAATAAATTTATTATATTTCTTTCCGTCATCATTATATTTTCAAAAAAAAAAAAAAAAAAAAACTCAATTGAATAAATTTGATTCGATTTTTAAAAAAAATTATTGCTCGATAGTGACGTCACGAAAACATGGCCGACCGTGAGAAAATGTATAAACTTTTTTCTTTTTCGTTAATTTATTAAATTTTAACGGTTACGATTTTTAACGATTTCGAAAAATGTTTGTACTTTAAACAAAAAAAAAAAGAAAAAAGAAAATTTTATTTTAAGGTGACCAACCGAAAAAAAAGGAAAATAGGAAAATTGTTCTAGAAACACTTTTTTTTTTTTTTTAATAAAATAGGATTTAAACGTGGAAGAATATAAAACGAGAACAATATCCGGTTAGTCCGATCAACAACAAACAAACAAACAAAAACCTCAAACAACAACAAAAAAACATTCAAATATATACAAAATATAAAAAGAAAATTTTAACCCCCCGACCGATTTTCATAATAATAATAATATTGTTATATAATATTATTATTATTATTAAAATGGAATATATATATTGGAAAACGTTTGCGTGTATTACGTATAAAACTTTACGCAAAATAATAATAATAATAAAACCAAATGAAAATTTTTTTTTTTTTTTTCCTAAACATTTGAAACTTATTTTGAATGTTGATAAGTCAATATCGATAAGTCAATTCAAACTCGATTTAAATTTTTTCTAGAAAAAAAAAAAACAGACAAAGAGAGAGAGAGAGAGTGTGTGAGAGTGAGAGAGAAAAAAGAAAACAATTTAAATTTAATACGGAAAAAAAATAAAATAAATAAATTTTAATAACATCGTTTGTTATTATCAAATATTCTTTTGAACGAATAAATAAGCTCACACAAACTGTTGAATGTTTTTTTCCTACGCCCCCCTCTCATCCCTCCCTCCCCTTTCTCCTAAAGCCCTCCCCTCCTCTCAAGCCCCCTCCCCCCGGAAAATACATTATCCATTTCCGCATTTAATATAATCTCAATCCAGAAATAAAAAAAAAGAACCTTAAATTACCTTTTATAAAAAATAAAAGGTTATGGTAAATTTTCATTTTCATATTTTTTTTTTTGCTCCGTTTTCCTCTGACACGTCTTTTTTTTTTTCTTAAATAAATAATCTACATAAAAACGATATTTTTACCCTCTTTGTAAATTTATTATTATTATTATTATCAATATTAATATTAATTTTTTTTTTTTTTTTAAACTTTAAAAATTTAATTTATGCCATTTTTCTTTTTTTTTTTTTACCGAGAACAAACAAAAAAAAAGAATTTTTTGTTTGTTTGGTTGTTTGTTTGTTATTTAAAAATGCAAACAATAATAAAATATCATTAATATTAAAACAAAATTAAAAATATAAAAATATAAAAGTTTATAATAAATAATATTTTCATTTAATATGCAGATTTTCCAGTACGACTTTCATTACCACCACCGACATCACGATCGCGACCCCTAATCCGTTATCACTTTTTTTTTTTATCACCATAACATTCATCGGAAAATATACGAATAATAACATACGATGATGATGATGATTGATGATGATGACGTATTAAACGCGATCGTTTATAAAAAAAAATTTTTCAATTTTTCAATTTTCTCCGGTGAAATGGGTCAAACTCTCTCTCTCTCTCTCTCTGTCAGACATTTTCCATTACATTATTTTAAATTACGTAATAAAAATTAATACGACGAGTTTTTTAAAGGGATTCAAATCGGGAGTATAAGGATGATTTGAAATGAAAATGGATAAGGGAGGGAGGCGTAGGAGGAGACAGGGGAGGAGGGAAAGGGCAATGCGAAAAAAAAAAAATTTATTAAAAAATTTTCTGTCGTTTTTCATTTTGACATTTTTCGTTTTTTAAACAACGGATTTTTTTTAATATAAGTCCTTTGTAAAAAAAAAAAAAAAAATCTGTCAGTTTTATTACGCATTCATTCATTCATTCAATCACGCACTCACGCACACCCGCACGCACACGCGTCTTTTTTTTATTAAATCGATCTAATTTTTAAAATGCGTTGTAACGATAATAATAATAAAAACAATGACGACGTAGATTGTAAATTTTTTTCTTAAGTGTTAGCGTATACATATATATATTTTTTGACCTCCCCCTCTCCTTCCCCCGCTCGTTGTTTTTCCAGAAAAAAAAAAGAAAAACCTCAAAATAGGCAATTTTCACAATTGAATTTACAAAATGAGAAATTTTTTTTTTTTTTTTATTTTTTACCCCCGAAATCCCTGTTCTAACATTTTTTTTCCTCTCCCTACCCCCTACCCCCTCCCCGATCTCATCAACCGACTTTTTCCATAAAAAAAAAAAAAGACAAAAATCTACGTGGATTTTATCAGTTCCAAAAAAAAA